AAGGCTGCCTAAGAACATGAATTAGCATGGACTCAGCACATTCTCTGGATTAAGTCCTATCTTTCCTTAGTCAACACTCAACAATTACTAAATACCTGTGATGTGCCAGGCACCGGTCTAGATACTTGAAATACATCAGGTAATAACAACACAGACCAAAATCCTTTTCCTTGTGAAACATAACAATATAAATCCTAGCCAGTACATGGGAGTCTTTCTCTGAATTACCAGCTTCCTTTTAAATCCCTGCAGTCCTTGTTGTCCATGTTACTCATCTGATTCATTATATAAGCTACCCCATAACATCTATCCAGTGGCTCCTCTCTCCAGTGCAGTCGTCATCCCTCCCGGTCTACTGCTACAGCATGCGGTTAGGGACCAGGGCTCACGCTCATGGCGTGTTGTATACCTTTATCAAGTTACACGAGGATGGGATTTTACAGCCGGACCCTCTCCTACTCTTTACAGTAAGAAAGGGGGGTGGGGTGGGCAAAGCATTAGTGTTTTATTTAATCGCTGACAACTAGAATCTATTTTCTTGTATATTACTTCAATCTATTCTCAGCATAGCAGTCAGAGGGATCCTCTGAAACAGAAGTTCAGTTATTTTCCCTAAGTGACATCCTATTTCATTCATTTTTTTGTAGAAAATGTCTGCCAAATACTCAAGTGTAAATACCCATACATGGGTGAGCAAAAGTAGCTGTTCATATGAAAAAAGACATGAAGGTTATGATTACAATAGCTTTATTAACTCAAAAGGATTCACATGTAAACCTATGTTTGCACACCCCTGTTGTTTAATTTAATATCAGTCTATCTTGCTCCCTCCCCAAGTGAAAATGGTGGGAAAGGAATTTCAGGAAATCCATGAAGTCAACACAATTTTGATAATACTGGGATTTTATTCGTCATTTCCACTGCATTCATGTTTGTACAGAGAGCACAAAAGCACCTGTGAGTAAAACTCCTGGCATTCAGCATGAACCAAGGCAGTGGTACCACACAACCAGTGGTCACTACATTCCCCACAACCATACACTTCTCAGAAAACCAAGAAAACCCAAATACCAACTGCTTCACTTTAAAATGTTCCTGATGCTCTGGGATGTTTGGCCTAGTGGTTAGAGGGTCAGCCCACAGACCAGTGAGTCATGGGTTCGATTCTGATTAAGGGCATGCACCTCGTACCTCGGTTGTGGCTCACGCAGGAGACACCCAGTTGACGTGTCTCTCACGTCTGTTTCTCCTCTCTCCCTCCCTCCCATTCTATCTGATGATAAATAGAAAAGTGTCCTCAGATGAAGATTTAAAAAATAATAAAATAAAATAAAATGTTCCTGGTGAAGCAATCATAAGTATTGATTTTATGTAATCTTAGCTGGAGGACACACCTTTTTCAGTTTTTTATGGGACAAATGGTAACAGGCATAAAGGGTTTCTGCTGCCACCAAAGTACGATGGTTTTCTCAAAGGAAATCACTATTTGAGTGAAAACTAAACTGGCTATTATTTTTTCTCAAGGAACATCAGTTTTTTTGGGGGGAACCAAACCCGGGACTCTCTGGTCCGCAGGCCAATGTTCCAACCGCTGAGCCAAACAGGCCAGGGCTCAAGGAACACCAGTTTTACTGGAAAGAATGTTAAACTACAATTATTCAGAATTGGGTATTTAGCAGACTTATTCTTGAAAATGAACTAAGTGGGCCTGTCACTGCAAAGAAAACAACACACAGCACAGTAAAACCTCGATATAATGGACTCATTTGGGCAGGGAAGTGTCCGTTCAAGCCGAAAGTCCCTTATATAATAAAGTAGGTTTTCCGAATGTGTATGTTAAAAAATTGACAAGTTAGTTAGCTTACCTGTTTTTACTTATGCAGACATGTTTGTGTAATTAAAGTATATATGAAAAGTTTAATTTCACAGCAAGTTTTCTACATGTATTACTATAATTTTAAATTCATACTGACTGGGTCTAGTAAATGCATGCATGAGCACGTGCTAATCATTCCTGAACATTGTTTACAAGCAGTGACTCTTGGATTTAAATATGTAGACTATAGTTGTAGATATGTAATATTTATGTCAGCAAAATTACTAGTTTTTTTTCCCAACATATGGCCTATTCACTAAAATTTGTTAAAAATAAGTCAATTAATGTAAAAAAATAACCTGTTAATTTACTCATAAGCAAATCTTAGTTAAAAGCATTTTTTTTAATCCTCACCCAAGGATATTTTCCCACTGATTTTTATATAGAGTAGAAAGGAAGGGAAGAAGAAACATCGATGTGAGAGAGATACATTGATTGGATACCTCCTGCACGACCCCAACTGGGGCCGGGGGTCAAATCTGCAACCCAGGTATGAGCCCTTGACTGGGAATTGAACCAGACCCTTTGGTCTGCAGGCCAATGCTCCAACTGCTGAGCCAAACCTGCCAGAGGAAAAGCATTTAAAAATTAATAGGGTGTGCCCAGCCAGTGTGGCTCATTGGTTCAGTGTCAACCCATGCACCAAGAGGTCACCAGTTCCATTCCCAGTCAGGGCACATGCCCAGGTTGTGGGCCAAATCCCCAGTGGGGGGCATGCAGGAGATGGCCAATCGACATTCTCTCTCATTGATGTTTCTCTCTCTCTCAAAATCAATAGCCCTGGCTGGTTTGGCTCCGTGGTTGGAGCGTCGGCCTGTGGACCAGAGCGTCCCGGGTTCAGTTCCTGCTAGGGGCATGTTCCAAAAAAAAAAAAAAAAAAAAAAAAAAAAAAAAATATATATATATATATATATATCTTTATTTCAATAAAGAAAAAAGTTAAATACATAAAATTAATAGGGTGTTAATTTTCACATGACATATGGACCACAAATTTTGTCCATTAAACCTAAGTCTGTTAAATTAAGGTCTGCAAAATCAAGGGTTTACTGTATTTGCTACCAGTGATCAAATTTAGTCTATCACGCAAAAACTTAAAATTGTGAAAAACTTATGCTCACTGTAGTGTTTCAGCTTCCTAATACTTTCCTGTTGAGATCAGTGGTGATATTAATAAACGTGACTTGATATGTATGACATGTTAACATTTGGAAAGCCTGTATAACTCAGTGATCCAATACTTTCCAAACGACTGATGCCTGATGTTGCAAACTAAATGTATGGGTAAAAGATCCAATCAAAGTTTAAGATACAGAAATACATTTTAATGTAATAGAGAAATGAAAAGTTCAGTGATCAAATTCCTTGCCCGGCCAGTGTGGCTCAGTGGTTGAGTGTCGACCCATGCACCAGGAGGTCACCGGTTCGATTTCCGGTCAGGGCACATGCCCAGGTTGTGGGCCCGATCCCCAGTGGGGGCCATACAGGAGGCAGCCAATCGATGTCCTCGCTCATTGATGTTTCTATCTCTCTCTGCCTTCATCTCTCTCTAAAATCAATGAAGAAAAGAATTTTTTTAATTCCATGTCATAACAAACTTTTAAGAAATTACTACTTTGGGTTTTGCTAGTGTCAAGGAATATCCACAATTCTTTAAAAATGTAATTAAAATATTTCCCCCTTGCCCTGGCTGGTTGGGCTCAGCAGTTAGAGTGTCAGCCCAAGGACTGAAGGGTCTTGGGTTTGATTCATCAAGGGCATGTACCTGGGTTGCAGGTTCAGTTCCTAGCCCTAGTCAGGGTGGTGGGGAGGCAACTGATTGATGTCTCTTTCACATCTATGTTTCTTTCTTTCTCCCTCCCTCCCTTCCACCCTATCTTAAAAAAAAAAAAAAAAAAAATCAATGGAAAAATATCCTTTGGTGAGGATTAACAATAAATATTTCTCACTTAACTACATATATATATGAGAAGTGAATTTCTTCATACTTCAACTAGAACTTCATATCCTAATAGTTTCAATGCAGCAGCAGATAGAAGAATCCAACTTCCTACTAAACTAGACATGGAAGAATGTTAAACTGTTTGTTTCTTAATAAAAAATGATTTTGCTAGCATGTAATTTTATTATTTTAATAAATTACTATGTAGTTTTAAATTTTCTATTTTAACTTCTAATTTGGTGAATATCAACAGCTACAAACCTCATAAACAAAGACTCTGTGGGGTCTTCAAGAATTTTTAAGAATGTAATGGAACCCCAAAGACCTAAATGTTTGAGAACCACTAATCTAAAGCATGACAGATCTTACCACTTAATAATCTTTCAATAGCTTCCAATCTCCCTCAGGGTAAAAGCCAGAAGCCCTTACATTGGCCTACCAGACTCTTACCTGTTCCCTTTCCATTACCTGTCCCTCTACTTTCCCTTGCTCACTCCCTCCAACCATACCCACCTCTTTGCTGTTCCTCCAACAAACCAGACACAGTCCCAGCGTTAGGACCATCGTACTGGCTATTCCCTTTGCCTGGAAAGGATTTCCCGTTTTCTATATGGCTATTACTCTCACTTCCTTAAAGCCAATGTTCAAATGTCACCATCTCAAAAGTCTAACATGAGCATCCTATTTAAAATTGCAACCCTAAGTACTCATTCTCTACAGCACCTTATGTCTACAGTTTGTGTGGCCTCTCTTCCCCCACCAATATAAGCCCCGCCCCCCAAATCGTGAAAACCACGTAGGGCTCAACAAATATTTGTTGAAGTAATGAGAAACTCTTGACGGCTTCTCATTTCTCATGACCTGTCCACAAAGACCCAAGAGAAAGAGAGGATGCAATATCAGAGAGAGGAGAGGGCAATGATGGAAAAGAGTTTTTGAATGGGAGAAAAAGAAGGTGGGATACAATGATCACAAACCCAATATTTATGGCATTATGTACGTGAAAAAGGCTCTTGGGAGAAGTCATGGTGGGAGAATATTTTAAGGTTGGGTAGGGCGGATTTAAGTGTCAGGCAAAGAACGCTGGCCCCGTGCCCCCACCCCCACCCCGGTTTCCTAGTTCAGACTCCCCAGAACCCTCCCTGGACCACTCAATCCGAACACAAGTAGCCCACACGAAGACACTGAAAATTTCTAAACTTTATGGAAAAATCAACAACGACAATCAACTAGCCAAAAACGGGCCTCCATATTCCGTCTCACTCCAGTGCCATCTCCCCTAAAGCCCGCTTCGCCACGGTCACAGTTCTCAGGGGTCCTGGCCGTCTCCCCAGCGCTGTGTTCCGAGGGTCCACATGAAGACAGGTCAGGCGAGAAACCCGGAGCCAGCCCTTCTGCACAGGGAAAGCACGAGAAGCCAGAGCCACAGAGAATCGGTCCACTCGGGTCGGGGACACGCGGGGAAGACGGCAAACTGGAGGGATAGGCGCTCTCCCGCACAGCGCTCCCACGGCGGGACCTCAGTTCTCCTCGGGCTTGTCGGCTGGCGGCCCGCAAGGTTGCAGCATCTTCTCCATCAAGTTGAAGCGGACTCGAGCTTTGCTCTCGTTCTCCGCGATGGCGAAGTAGTTGAGAAGGTCGAAGTGGCCCATGTAGGAGCAGTAGGAGTCGCGGTGCTGGTTCACCAGCCATTCCCACTTGGTGGTGTCGGCGTGGCCCGTGCCGATGTACTTGGACTGCAGGTGCTCCAGCTGGCTGTGGATGGTGTAGCGGTCCGTCATCTCGCCGCTCTCCTTGTAGCCCTGAGGTCAGAGGCCGCGGACCAGGAGGAGACGCTCTGGAAAGTCACGCCGGAGAGGGACCACTCCACGGAGCCCCACGCCGGTGCGGTCGCTGGCGAATGGCGTCACCGCGACGAACCTGCGCGTATTCGCGGTTCTAGGACTCAGAGGCGGAAGCGGAAGTGTGTTCTGTCACGTCATTGGAGTTGCCTAGGCCACGCTCGAAGTCGGCCTCCTCTATCGAGAGCCCCGCCCCCTTCCGGAGAGCGTTGCCTGATGGGACCTTCTGCTTACCGGGAGGGTTGCATGCTGGGACCTGTGGTCTCCGAAGCCGCCTTGCGTGCTCGCTTAGGAGCCCTCGCGGCTCTTGAGGAGGTTTTGGGCGCGTAGTGGAGGGGGTTGCCTGGGAGGCGGTTAGCATCCTTAGGTGGTTGGGCTGACCGGAATGGGAAACTCCAGTAGGACACAGCAGGCAACTCGTTAAATACACTCGGCCTAATTCTGTTTCGGGGCACGGCAGCCCCTCCACAGCTGGAGGCAGGTGCCCCGCAGTCAGGAGACCGAGCGCTGGTCCTGACTCGTCCTGCGCGGTGAGCGTTGTGTCAGCGCCCGCAGGGCCGCGGTCTCCTGCCCGCGGGCCGAAGTTCGCGTAGTACCGGTTCCAGCTCGTTCCCGCTCGCACGCCGAGCCCCGCCTTCCTCTCGAGCCCCTGATTTCCGCACCTCCCTCCTTCCCTCCCTCCCTCCAAGCCGCGCCGCCCGCGCCCTGCGCGCCGCCGCGCCCGCCGGTCTGCCTGCGGGCCGTTCGCCTCGCCGCCCTGCGCGAGCGCGGCCGCCCCCCGAGCGCCGTCGCGGGCCGGGCCCCTCCTGGCAGGCAGCTCGACAGCAGCTCCCGGAAGGCGGCTTTGGCTACCCAGGCCGATGGACACCCTCCTTCCTCTGCACCTTGACTGTCCTCTCGGTCATTATCGCTATATATGCCCCCCACCCCGTTTTGTTTTGTTTTTTAACAGTTTCCTCAGGCGAATACGAACTACTTGAGAAAGTTTACTTTTGTTGATACCTTACATACTTCTTTTATGATATTCTCATAGTGACAGATATTCTATTCTCAAAAACGTTTGATGAATGGCTAAACAACTGTATGACAGCCAAATAGAACTCTTTACTTGGGGAAAGATAACTTTTAAATAATCTTATTCTGATACAAAGTTGCAGACTATAGTTAATACTGTGTGAATACTGGAAAATTTTTTAAGTGTTGATTTCAGGTGCTCTCACCCCACAAAGTAACTGTGTGAAGAAATGGATATGTTAATTACTTTGTAGTAGTAATAGTTTCATTATGTTGCACACCTTAAATATAAATAATTTTTAAGTTTAAAAGAGATCAAAAAAGAAAACCAAAATGTTCTGTATGAGATCAAATACCTGTACCAAAAATGAAAAAAATAAGTTTTATTCTTTAGATTAAACCTTGTTTTAACAAACGTTTCATTCCTAAAATGTAGAGACTATTATAAGGTATACCTGTGGATTCACTATCCAGATATATCAAATCTTGCCATCTTCCCATTTTTGTTACCAACTTTGTTATTTTGTTTGGGATTTTAAAAGAAACAAAACTATGAAAACAAACTTGAAGTTCTCTGTGTTCGCCTCCCTAGTCTGTTCACTTCAGGATACTGTCTTGAATTTAGAGTTGATCATTCCTGAGCCTGTTTTTTGATTGCTGATAGTTTCTTCATCCATAAACAATAGTGGTAGTGTTATGCTCATTTTAAAGCTTTATATAAATGACATTCTGTATGTATTGTTATGAAAGTTGTTTTTCCCCTCATCATATCCATGTTGATAAACGTAACTTCAGTTGATTTTTACTGTTGTGTAGTATGCTACCGAATTAATATACTGTCACATGTCCATTTTCTCAAAAATGGACATTTAATTTCACATTTTTATTGTAAGAAACAATGCTATAAGAAATATTCTTATACATAAATTCTTATACATGTGAAGAAATTTCTTTGGAGACTATATAAAGGAGTAAGTTGAGACACAGGCATGCGTGTCTTTAAGCTTTGCTAGATATTGCCAAGTTGCTCTGCAAATTGATTATACCAGTTGGCTCTCCCACCAGCGAAATGAGAATTCATTTTCATCCACATCCCTCCCAAAACTTGGTGTCCTCAGACTTCTAAAACATTTTCAAGTCAGAAAGGTGGAATGGAATTTCATTGTGCCTTTAACTTGCATATCTCTGCTTACTAGGGAGACTGAATATCTTTTGTGTGTGTTTACTGGCCTATTATATTTCTGCTCTGAATTGCATATTCATATTCTTTGCCCATTTTCTTATTGGGAACTTTTTTTAAAGGTGATATTTATATATTTACGATACTAAACTTGCCAGTTATTTTGCAATGAAAATCTTTTATTTACTTATTTATTTTTGTAATCTTATGTCTTCTTAGGAAACATAGTACCATTGAGTGTCCATTATATCCTTAGAGAACTTCAATCTTGGGTCACAGCGTTAAGAGCTCCTGGTTTTGGTCTCACAAGCTTTGAAAATCTTTTTCCAGTCTGTGGCTCATCTTAATCCTTTCTTTGTGGCATCATTTGCAGTCACATGTATCAGCCTTCCTTTATGTTTTTTGCATTTGGGTTAAAAAATGAAATCAAGTAAAACACTTTCTATCCTTGGGCCATAAAAAAAGAGGTTTGTTTCATTGTCTTCTAAAAGTTTTAGTTTGGGGTTTTTATATTTATATTTTTATATTTGTTTTACTTCACCTGGAAGTTTTTGTTTTGTTTTGCTTTGCTTTAAGGCAGTGATTGCAAGAATTTTTAAAACATGTGATACCTGACTATTGAGTCAGGGGCATTGACCTCTTTTCCCTTAGCTTGTCAAATAAAAAAGTAACAGCCAACACAATAGCCCTCCAGTGCAAATGGATCAAAATTATACCTTTTTCTTTTTTTCAGATCAGCCAAAAATGTTTTTTTGGTGTGCCGTAGAATTTTAGTTATTGGTTTATGTGTGCCATGAGATGAAAAAAGTTGAACATCACTGCTTTAGGGATCTAATTTTTCAATTCTTTCCTATATGATTAACTAGTTCCCAGTGATAACCAATCATTCATTAAACAGTGCATCCTTTCCCCACTATCTTTACAGTTTGTGTTGTGTACAGATAGGCCTGTTTCTGGGTATTCTGTTCCGTTAGTTTCTTAGTCTGTGCCCACAGCAGTAACACGAGATCTTAATTATTGTACCTTTATAATACGTCTTGATATTATAGGCTTGACAAGGTGAAATCCTATATAATTTTCCTCTTTCATAAATGTTTTAACATTTTTGAACCTTTGCACTTCCACATGAATTTAGAATTGTCGGTAAAATCCTTATGGAAATTGTGATTGACTAGTCAAACAAAGCTATAAAAGTTAATATTATTTCTATATCATTAAGAATGATTCTAAGGATAGGAGAGAATTCCTCAAATTCAAAGTAATACATTTACACGTATAAATTAAGAGCGAAGGTGTATTAGTTTGCTAGGGCTCCCAAAACAAACTGCCACAGGTTGGTGGCTTAAACAATAGAAGTGTATTTCCTCACAGTTCTGGAGGCTAGAAGTTACAAAATGAAGGTGATGGTGGGTTGATTTTATTTTTAGATCTCTCTCCTTGGCTTGCTGCTAGCCATTTTCTCTGTGTCTTCCCATGGTTTTTCCTCTGCATGTGTCTGTCTTAATCGTCTCTTCTTATCTGCAAATACAGTCACATTCTGAGCTACTGAGGGGTTAGGACTTCAGCATGAATTTCGAGGTGACACAATTCAGCTGTGGCATGTATAAGAGAACGTGTTTCTTTTTACAAATTTTAACTTTAACTAATGAACTTTGTGAAAATAACTTAGGTATATAAAAAGATTTTATTTGTTAAAATAGATAATCACAATATTTACAAGGAAAATGAAATGTATTACATTAATAAGTGTGATTTAAAATGTCCAAAATTTGGAGTGGAACTAAATTTTACCTAAAGTCCCCTTAAAAGTAATTGTGAAAATTTGCTAGATTTATAGTTTAGGATTTTTAGCTGAATTTAAAAACTTAAGGAGAGAGGCAGTTTTTACATCTATAACTTTAATATATTGAACATTAATTTTAAAAACCTAAATAAATCTCTGAATAATAGTTTCTGCATTCCCCCAAATGATTCTCAAAGGTGCGCGCACACACACACACACACACACACACACACACACACAAAATCCCTGCTTTAAGTTTAATTGTAATTACATTGAATTTATAGACTTATATGGGGAGAATTGTCACCTTAACTATATTGAGTTTTCTCACCTATGCACATAGTATATATTTCATTTATTTATGTTTACTTCTTTGACTTTATATAAAGCTTGTATAATTTTCACAAGGGTCTTTCACATCTCCTAGATTGATTCCTGAGTATCTGCTATGTACAGGGTAGGGCAAAAGTAGGTTTACAGTCGTGAGTACAAAAATAGTTTATTCTTGTATTATTATTTATAAATTATTGTATTATTTTTCATATCAACAGCTTTTGCCCAACCCTTTTTACTTAAAGATATTCCGTATGGGTCTTAAATTGTGACCTAGTACGAAACATCACAGTTTCTTTACACTTATTGCCAATAAAGCCTTTTGGCCTGGAACCAGTGAACTTGTTACGAAGACATGCCAGGACAGCTGTGACTATTTCATGCTCCAAGATCCAGCCTCCAGTTAATCCTGTCTGTTAGGCGCTTCTATGTAACTACCAAATGCTGTCTTACAACTTGGCATTTGAGTAAGAAAAAAATATGCAAGAAAAGATTCCACAGGAAAAGCTATAGAATTAAAGATTTATAATGACAAATGTTTTAGACAGAAAATTGTATGTTGTCTAGTCTACTTTTTAAGTCTGGATATGTAAGGCAACAATTTCTCTTTTTCATCTTTCTTGTTCTTGTGTCACTGGCTTTAACTTTTTTAAAATGTCACTTAATATTTTGAATAGTCAAAGCATCATTCAAAACACAAAAATATACAAAGGAATGTCGTTTCCAATATCTGTTCCTTTCTCATCCCATTGCTATGTGTATCCTTCCAGA